TTTTTTTTTTTTTTTTTGAGACAGGGTTTCTCTAGGTTACAGCTTTGGCTGTCCTGGAATTCACAGAGATCTGCCTGCTTCTGCCTCCTAAATGCTGGGATTAAAGTTATAAAGCACCATACCCAGCTTCAGTATGTTTTTGTTTTTGTTTTTGTTTTTTTTGTGATAGGGTCCCAAGTATCCCAAGCTATCTCCAAACTTTATATAGCTAAGGTTGGCCTTGAATTTCTCCTGCCTCCCCATGCTTAGTGCTGTGTCTAGAGGCCTGAACCACAAAATTCAGCTTTACTTACATTTATGTATTTATTTATTTATTTATTGTGCGTGCGTGGAGGGGGTAATACAATCCCATACCATAGTTCATATGTGGAGGCCAGAGGACAACTTGCAATTATTTTATTCTGTCGTTTGGGTCCCCCGAGTCAAGCTCAGATCCCTGGGGTTGGCAGCAAGCCCTTTACCTGAGAGCCATCTCATTGGCTCATTTATTGTTTAGGCCCTGGAGAGGAAACAAAACAAAGGGCTTTGCATGCGTCAAGGAAGTGTTCTATCAGAACAAACTCCCACCTTAGTTTAAATTAATCTGTGCTTGGAATGCAACCCAAGCTGATGATACAGAAAGCTGTGGTGCTTGTTTTCATAGTAGAAAGAAAGGCCTTTGATGCCGGGCGGTGAGCTTAGAACACAAACCTGCGTTTTGGAAGTTAGGCATATAATGAGCCAGGAGAAAGAAACAGGCAGAAAGAGCAAAGATCTTGGAGAGACGGTATCTGGTGAGTACAAAGAACTATGGAAGCTGGGTGGTGGCACGTACTTTTTTTTTTTTTTTTTTTTTTTTTGTGACAGGGTGTTTCTCCTTAACTTTGGAGCCTGTCCTGGAACTAGCTCTGTAGACCAGACTAGGTGGCTCACACCTTTATTCCCAGTACTTCCGAGTATAGAGACAGGGGGATCTCTGTGAGTTTGGGGCCAGCCTTGTCTACAAATTTAGTTCCAAGAATCCTGTCTTGAAAAACAAACAAAAAAAGAATTCTAGGAAAACCCCAGAGTAACTGTTGCAGTGGGTGAGACTGAGGGTGCAGAAAAGTACAGGTGTGGTGTGGTTGTTGTTGTTGTTGTTGTTTGAGATAGGGTCTCCCTGCACAGCCGTCCTGGAACTCACTGTGTGGACCAGGCTAGCCTCACTGTTGTCTCTCCCTCCTGAGTTCTGGAAAAGGTGTGTGCCACCACACCCAGCCATTTAGTGGTTTTCTTAATCTATAACCCAGGTTGGCCTTCAGTTCAAGGCAGTGATCTCACCTCAGCCTCACCAAACGCTAGGATTACAGGTGAGCCATCATACCTGACCTGTAGCTTATTTGGAAATGGAGTCTCATCATATTTCCCGGGCTGATCTTGAGCTCCTAGGTTCAAATTATCCTGCTTCAGCCTCCAGAATAGATACAGCTAGAGTTTTCCACCACCACATCCAGCTTTTACAATCCTGTTTCCAAACTATGAGTCAGAATTTATAACTAAATGCAAGGCTTAGTCTTTGTTCTTTTTTTGTTTGTTAGTTTTGAGATGGGGTTTTACTATTTAACTTTGGCTGTCCTAGAACTTGCTGTGTTGACCTGCTGGCCTCAAACTCACAGCCTTTCAAGTGCTGAGATTAAAAGCGTCCACCACTATGCCTGTATTTTTATTTATTTATTTATTTATTTTGGGCTGCAAAGATGGTTCAGAGGTTAAGAGCATTGGCTATACTCTTCCAGGCGTCCAAAGTTCAATTCCCAGCAATTACATGGTGGCTCACAGCCATCTATAATAAGATCTGGTGCCCTCTTCTGGCCTGCACATATACATGGAGGCAGAATGTTGTATACATAATAAATAAATCTTTTTTAAAGAAAGAAGGATTTTCCCAGGTGATAGTGGCACAGGCTTGTAATCCCAGCACTTGGGAGGCAGAGGCAGGCAGATCTCAGTGAGTTTGAGGCCAGCCTGGACTACAAAATGAGTTCCAGAACAACTAGGGCTGTTTGTTACACAGAGAAACACTGTCTCAGGGGAGGAAAAAAGAGATTTATTTATTTCACCTTTTTATGTATTTTTGCTTTTTGTCTTTGTAATGGTAGGGATTGGACCAGCATGCTAAGCAAGCACCCTACCACTTGTAGGAAGATCTTCAAATATATTACAAAATCACGTTGAATAGATGAGGTAAATCTGGGTTAAAAAGCTTGCTAGCCAAGCAGTGGTATACGCCTTTAATCCCAGCACTCAGGAGGCAGAGGCAGGCAGATCTCTGTGAGTTTGAGACCAGCCTGGTCTACAGAGCTAGTTCCAGGACAGGCTCCAAAGCCACAGAGAAACCCTGTCTCGAAAAAACAAAAAAAACAAAACAAAACAGAAAAAACCAACAGATATTAAAATTGCCAGGTATGGCGACAAGTACTTGTTAGCCCAGAACTAAAGACCGAGTGTAGGACTCCTTGGCCAAGTGAGAGCAGCCTGGCAACAAGATCCTTTCTCAAAACCAGCACCACCACAGCAATCAGTGAACTGCGTTTAAGAGAATTCTATAGTCTCTTCATTTTTTTCTTGTTGGGGGTGAGGGGAAGTGTGATTTATAGGTCAGCATGGCCTAGAGCTCACTCTGTACCTTAAGCTGGCCTTGAACTCCCAATTGTACTGCCTCCATCTCCCGAGCTTGCAGCTCCACTCTGGGCTCCTGGTCTTTCAGGTCTATAACTAGCACAACAGGGCAGGGGCTGTTTGGACTCCACAGGCCTGTGCTTTGTTTTCAATAGATGCTGCTGTTTTGAACAATGTGGCGCATACATTTGGCCTGATGGACACAGTCAAGAGAGTTTTGGACAACAGACGGAAGCAAGTGGAGCAGAGCGAGGGGCAGTTCCTCTATACCCTGGCAGGTACGTGGACTCACCTCTCTTCTTTGGAGGGTTGATGTGTCACTAGGTCATTCTGATAATCTAGGAATGTTGGTGGCAGGAGACACGAATCAGCTTTCCTTTTTATTACATTATCAATGTGGCTGTTTTTGCTAACTATGGATTTTGTACATTTTCCATTGTCATAATCATAAATTATGACTTGGGAGATGGCTGACTGAGTTGGTAAAATATTGGCTCTATATACATGAGGACTTGCTCTGTAGTCCGGGTTATCCCGGACCTCACAGAGATCCACTGCCTCTATTGGGATCAAAGGTGTGCACCACCATCAGCTGGCTGGTTTAAATGTTCTTTTTTTTTTTTTTTAAGGTTTATTTTATTTTATGTATATGATGATCTATGCCAGAAGAGGGCATCAGATCCCATTGTAGATGGCTGTAAGCCATCATGTGGTTGCTGGGAATTGAACTCCAATACTCAACCTCTGAGTCATCTCTCCAACCACCGGTTTAAATGTTCTTAAATGATAGATGTGATTCATAAAGTTAGTTGGTGAGCCAGCCAATCTAGCTTAATTGCTAAGTTGCAGGCCAGTGAGATACCGTGTCTTGAAGGAGATAAACACTTAGTCGTCCTCCTGTCTGCACATGCATCTACATATACGTGCTCATACATGTACACTTACACACATGAGCAAACCACAAAAGGTAAAACAAAAATGTTATATTGTGCCTCATAATTGTGTACAATTTAAAATAGATGTAGGTGTGGCTAGAAAGACAGCTCAGCATTACTTTAAGAGTATATGTCCTCCTTCCAGAGAGTCCGAGTTCTGTTCCCAACACCTACATCTCATAAACACCTGTAACTCCAGCTCTGGCATATCTGACACCTTCTCTGGCCTCTACAGAGGCCAGGGTATATACTCTTACATGTACACACACACATGTGCACAGATGCATGCACACACAAGACAAATAATTAAAAATATAAATTTAATTAAAAATACATATATTTGTGTCTGTGTATATTGGGGGATGTGGCTCAGTGATAAAGCATGTCCTTAATATGCTCCTGCCCTGCGTGTAAATCGCCTGCTTGTGAGAGGGGGAAAGACCATGGGAACGTGTAAATCACCTGCTTGTGGAAGGGGGGAAGACTGTGGGAGGCTTCTTTGATTTGTATTTTGTCGAGAGATGAAAAAATGCAGAGGAGTATGTGGGTTGAGTAAAGTAAGAGCACAGTTTTGATAGACTCGGAACTGTTGCCCCGCTCATGATCACACCATTAAGTGCAGTTACTAAAAGGTTTTAAAAAAAATCATCTCCATAGTTATTTGAGAAACTTTGGTGTGACTTGCCTGAGGCCACACAGTGTAAAGCCCTGACAGGATCCTGTGTCTCCCGATCCCCTGGTTAATGTTCCCTAGATGACATTTCCCCACTGAGTCTAGCTGTTTGGATGTTGTTTTGTTTTTTTTCCCTCTTAGACTTGGAACGGCAGTTGGAAGAGCAAAAAAAGCAAGCCCAAGATCCTAGACTGAAATCTCAGACGGTTCAGAATGTGGTACTGATGCCTGTGAGCACCCCAAAGCCTCCAAAGAGACCCCGGCTCCAGCGGCCGGCCTCCACCACTGTCCTGAGCCCTTCTCCTGTGCAGCAGCCTCAGTTTACTGTTATCTCACCTATCACCATCACCCCCGTGGGGCAGTCCTTCTCCATGGGCAATATTCCAGTGGCTACTCTCAGCCAGGCCTCCAGTCCTGTGACTGTCCACACGCTGCCTTCTGGCCCGCAGCTCTTCCGCTATGCCACGGTGGTTTCCTCTGCCAAGAACAGCTCACCAGACACAGTGACCATCCACCCTTCGTCGAGCTTGGCACTGCTAAGCTCTGCCACTATGCAGGATGGCAGTACCCTGGGCAATATGGCCACGATGGTGAGCCCTGTGGAGCTGGTGGCCATGGAGTCTGGCCTGACTTCAGCAATCCAGGCAGTTGAAAGCTCCTCGGAGGATGGGCAGACCATCATTGAAATTGACCCGGCCCCAGATCCTGAGGCTGAAGACAATGAGGGCAAAGCAGTCATCTTGGAGACAGAGCTGAGGACTGAGGAGAAAGTGGTGGCTGAGATGGAAGAACACCAGCATCAAGTCCACAATGTGGAGATTGTGGTCTTGGAGGACTAATTGGGGATGGGGCCAAGAGCTATGTTTTGGTTTGGAATTTTAATTATGTTTATTTTTATCATTGTCCCATTCATTTCCACATAGAACCTTTTTTTAAAAAAAAAAAAAAACAAACTACAAAAATCTCGTTGTAACTGACAATGTTGGGTTCCTCCTACTCCCTCAATGACAAATGGACAGAACAAGCTACCTTTCCTGAAGTTAGGAACAGGTCATCCGGTGTCCTAATCATCTTACCCCAAGGAAGGTATTGCTTTTAGGGGAGGTGTCAAAATAACCAGGAACCCTTTCCAGAATAGTCTGTCTGTATACACATGCATGGGTTCACGCTTGTAAAGATGTGTTGACCAAACTCTGGAGCACAGACCTGACAATGGAAGACGGCCAGCGCTCGCGTATCCTGGATAAGGCCTCAGAGGCCAGTGCAAAACTCTCAAACAAAAGGAAGTTGAACTCTGCTTAGAGTGGGAAGTAGCATGCCATCAGCAGCTTAAATGGGGAAGTTCTTTGGCAAGGAGGGGGCAAGGCGTGATCTTCCAGAGGTGCATCTGATGCCCCCTCGAGCTCTTTGAGGGTTGGGTACCATTTTGAGAAGAGGCCAGTGATACGCAGAATGGCACACAGCAAACAAGCGATGGTCACAGCTGTGCTTTTGGGATAGCTCACCTTGCCCCCAGTCTTGTCAAAGCCCTCACCCTCTTCACCAAGGATTTTTAGTCCATTCCTTTGCAGACTGTGATGTGGCTATAATTGCTCTAGATCTTGGACTGTGGCTGTCATGAGATGGGGCTCCAAGGCCATCATTTTTGTTTCTTGACTCCAGGGATGGAAGAGTTCCTCATGCAGACCAGCTGCTATTTTTGGGAGCCCTGCATGCAAGTGTGTGTGGTGTGGTGTGTGTGGTGTGATGTGGTGTGTGTGTGGTGTGGTGTGTGTATACCTGTTTTGGCTTTGGAACCAAAAGCAGTCCTCACTTGGTGCTTCCCTTTCTCTTCATCCTTCAGTCTCCCGGATCCCACGCTCTGCAGCTTTTTGGCTGATGTCGAGAGCAGTGACAGGTGCCTGCCTGCCTTCATTGCTTTTGAGAGTCACTTCTGTTTATGCCACAGATGCTTCTGGGAGATACTGAGCTCACAAAAAGACTTAGGCTTGGCAGGGAAGACTGGAAACACCTCCAGCCTTTCCTGAGGCGTGGACTAGACGTCTCCTATGTGAGCCGAACTCCCTGGGAAAGAAATGTTGTCTGTGACAGTAATGTTTGGGGGCGGGGGCTTTTTCCTAAATGCTGTTTGTACGTTTAGACCTGGGTCGCCTTCCATGCTACAGTCCCTTCACTTTGACCCTCTTCAGTGTTTGGGAAGAGGGAACAGTTTGATTTCTTTAATTAATTATATTGTTCACTGTACTAGGGAAAGTATAGACACTCTACAGATGACTTAAATAGGCTGGAAAAGCACACAGTTTAGGAGTTGGAGCATTTATTATTAGTAGTAGTATTATCAAAAGTAAAATTTCGACCTCAGTTTCTATTTAAAAAAAGAGAGAATGCCTGCCTAAACCTGTCTTCCTACCTGCAGGTTTTGGAAACTATAAATCACTGAGAACTGTGTCCTCCCAACTCTTCGATGGCCATAGATAGCCAGAACGCCCTCAGGTCTCTCTGAAGACCCTAAGAGTGGGATTTCTGAACTCCATGCAGATGCATTTTAGCTTCAAACTGGACTTTTCAGAATATTTAACTGAGCTGGGGACGGAGCTGAGTGGGTCAAGTGCTCACCTGGCACACATGCAACTCTGGCTTCAGTCTCCACCACGAATAAAGTGGGCATGGTAGCACATGCCTTTGATCCTTGGGAAGCAGAGACAGGAGGCTCAGAAATTCAAGGTCATTCTCAGCCCTGTAGCAAGTTCAAGACTAACCAGGGATACACAAAATGCTGTCTCAAAAAAATTCGTTTTGAACAAGCTTTTGGTCCTTTATCCATTTTTAGTGAAGAAACTGGAATTTATTTCTGGTTTCCTTAGGTTTTCTGTTAATACATAAGATTTTTTTTTTTTTTTTTTTTTTTTTTTGGTTTTTCGAGACAGGGTTTCTCTGAAGCTTTGGAGCCTGTACATAAGAATTTTTATTACACTTATTTATCCGAGAGAGTGTGTGTGTAGTGGAGAGCTTGCAATGGTGTCTGTGGAGGTCAGAGAAAAACCTACAGGAGCCATTCTCTCCTTCCATTGTAGGGTCCTGGGGAGTGAACTCGGTAGCTAGGCATGGTGGCAAGCATCTTCACCCACTGAGCCATCTTGCCAGCCCTAAAGGTTCCAGGCTAAGTCTGAAACTGTTACTTGAACCTAGAAAGCCACATCTCACTCCTGTTGTACTCTGTAGGTCATTTCTCTCTCCCAGAGATGAGAGAACCCATTCAGGACCCAGAGGAGCCTTGGAGACTAAGGACAGTCTCACTCAGGTTCATCCCTTTGCTGTCACAACTGTAGCATAAAAGTTTGTGTGAGCTCCGTGCTTCCAAAGTCAGACGTCCTCTTGGGACAGAGCCTGTTTACTTTCAACCTTCTGGCAGGTGGGTTACACGAGCGTGGCTGTTTTCCTGGTCTTCCAATTGCTGTCATTGCTAGCTGCTGTGGTACTCGTGAGGACGAGATCTCTCCCAGCCCTGGTCTAGATCATTTCTGGTGGGGTGAGACACGTGCAAGTTATTGCAATGAAATTACTCCTCAGGCTGACTTGATGGTAGCTATCTTTTCTCTAGCCATTCATTAAATAAACATTTATAAGTCCAGTCTATGTATAAGTACTGCACGCTAACCGACTGCGCCACCGAAGCCCTGGTAAGAACCATGAAGATGCTTCATGCAGACACTGATCATGCAGACAATCCCTGTTCTCAAGGACCCAGACCTCTTCTGCACTTTACCGCGTGTCAACGTCTTTGATTTCTTCTGGAACCTTGTTTTATCTGAAGCATTGAGAAGCTTTCTAAGACTTTAGTTCCAAGGTTTCAGCAGGCTGGCAAAGTTACAGAGGTGAAGGGACCCCTAGCAAGATACTACATCAAATCATTGTGTTGGGGTGAGTGTAGCTATGGACTGTTGGCCTGGGGTTAAGGACAGAGGATTAAGCACCTGTCTCAGCCTGGAGTATGAATGAGGTTCAGCAAATCTGAGACAGTTTCTAGGAGAAAGCGGGCACACACTTATTTTCAAATACTTGGTCTATGTATACAAGAATAATTCTTCAGTCCCGCTTGCTGCTGCTGCTGCTGCTGCTGGAAGACCCAGGCCCTCGTCAGTGACAGTGTCTATTAGAAGCACTGGAGAAAGGGGTCACACCTGAGGTGGTAACTATCAGATGGGCCTGGAGCTTCATCTATGGTGTGGCTGGGCTTTCTTTGGTAGAGGTGCATCTCTGGACTTTCCTGCCATGTGTTTTTCAAAAAGCCCTTACCGGGTGCTTTGTCTAGCACATCTTCCTGCTTGACCCCTGCCCTGTTGCCTTGTTCTTGCCCCTTCTCTCTTTTCTCTCTGTCTCTGTCTCTTTCTTTCTGGACAGGGTCTCTGTGTAGCTCTGGCTGGTCTGGAACTCACTCTGTAGACCAACCTGGCCTTGAATTTAGAGATCTACCTGCCTCCACCTCTCAAATGCTGGGATTAAAGCATGTGCCACACAAAACATAGCTCTTGTTACTCCATTCCTAGGAGTGGCGTTGCATGCCTATAGATAGTCCCAGCACTAGGGGCAGTTGCAGGATAGCCTCAAGACCTTGCCTCACAAAACAAACATTTAGGCTAACACATCACAAAACAAAAAGTTACCCTGCTTTTTGTCCCCTCCTACCATGGACGATAGACATTTAAGATCCAAAGCCCCCATCAGTGTGTACTTCCCTTTACTTCCTGCCGTAGCAGGAGGGGGAACCAGTATTAATGAAATGTCTTGTTGGGTGGTGGTGGCGCACGCCTTTAATCCCAGCACTCAGGAGGCAGAGGCAGGTGGATCTCTTGAGGCCAGCCTGGGCTACGAGAGCTGGTTCCAGGACAGACCCTCAAAACTATAGAGAAACCCTGTCTCGAAAAACCAAAAAAAAAAAAAAAATATCTTGGAAATTAATATTGAGGTGCTTCTTTTAATGTTGGTGGTTTATCCCATTTCATGAAAGACACTGAAGGTGAATGGGTATGGAGAGTACTGGTTTTATTTACTAAAAGTTTACATCATGTGTCTTTGTGCCTTTGTGTGTGTGTGGCATGCCAGGGTACATAGTGTCTTGGTCAAAGGACGGCTTTTAGGAGTCAGTGCTCCGCTTCCACCATGTGAGTTCCAGGAATCAAATGCCGTTCACCAGGCTTGGCAGGCAAGCACTTACTCACTGAACCATCTTGCTGGCCAAGATATATCTTTGTTTAAATTTTTTTTTTGTTTATAAATGTTTTTGTTGGAAGTATGTATGTACACCACATGTATGCCTGCTGTCTGAGGAGGTCAGAAGAGGGTTTAAGAACCCCTGGAGCCAGAGTTAGGGATGGTTGTCAGCCACCATGTGGGTGCTGGAAATCAACCCAGGTTCTCTGGAAGAGCAAATGTTCTTAACCACTGAGCCATCTCTTCAGCTGATATGTAAGTAGCAAAAGTCCATTGTGAAATACTGAGTCACTGAATCAAACTGGTCCAGAATGAAGTACTATCTAGGAGGTAGACAAGGCACCACCCCCCCAAAAAAAAGATTGAATTCTGAAAATAGCAATGAAGTTGTGGTTTGTTTTGGTCAGTACTTATTGAGGATAAAGTCGGTGAGGAGAAGTTAGACTCAGGCTACCCCTGCACTTCCAGAAGACTTTCTAGTCCAGGTATCACTTGGAGGTGAGGCAGATCTCTTCTGTCTGGAATCGGTCTTCCCTGGGAAATTCTGCTGTAGAGGTGGGGTGTGAATCAACAGCCCTTGACTGGCAGGTACAAGGCCCCAAGCTGAAAAAATTCTAGTATAGTCTGTAATGTGTGAATGAACAGCCAAGGTAGACCAAGGTGTGGTGGGGCATACCTGAAACCCTTCAAATGAAGGCCAGGAAAGCTTAAGTTTGAGATCAGCCTGGGTTCTACAGGAAAATCCTGTTTCAAACAAGCAAACACCAAGAACCAACTTTGTCAGTGACTCCAGGGGATTCTTTCTACCACCTCTTCCTCCGCAACCTCTGTTCTCCATTCTGAGTCCTTTCCACAGGTCCTTCTCAGCCCTGAAACACTTCCCCAGCTTGAGTTAACACAGTTGGAGGATTTGCTTCTAAATCCCACAAGCCACACTGCTACATCGCCCTTCCTCTTCAGCTCTTACTTTTAGGAGCCATTCTTTGGCTCCCATGCTCTGTCTTGTTAGTAACTGCGTGCCCATGTTTGCTCGGTAGTATATTTTAAGATTCATTTATTTCTATAGTTTATGTATATAGGTGTTTTTATCTGCATGCACATCTGCACCTCAGAGGAAAACATATCCCATGGAACTGGAACTACAGTTGTGGATGGTTATGGCTGCTGCCAGGTGGGTACAGAGCAAGTTCCAGTACAGGCTCCAAACAGAGAAACCCTGTCTCAAAAATAAATAACCAAATAAACAAGCAGACAGATAGATAAAGGCATTTTAAAACATTTCTATTATTTTATAGCTGGGCGAAGTGGCACATGCCTTTAATCCCAGCACTTCAGAGGCAGAAGGAGATGGATCTCTGTTGAGTTTGAGGCCAGCCTGGTCTACAGAGTAAGTTTTTAGGAGTGTTTTGAATGTTTGTCTACATGCCTGGCACCCGCAGAGGCCAAAAAAAAAAAAAAGGGCACCTGGAACTCTAGGTATAGACAGCTGTGAGCTATCATGTAGGTGCTAGGAATTGAACTTGGGGCCTCTGAAAGAGTAACCAATGTTCTTAACCACTGAGCCATCTCTCCAGTCTATATATTTGATACTTTGAAACAGTCTTTTTTTCCAAACTCAAGGCATTGTCAGGACTCCAAAATGTAAACATACATTCACACAATACCAGCCAGTTTCACTGGCTGAAAAAGCCAGTTTAACACCACTGGTCACTGAACTCAGTACATTTGTTATTATCTATAGGGCTTTTTGCAGCGGGGTTTCTCTGTGTATCTGCCCCCCCCCTTGTGTGTTTGTGCGTGTGTAGCAGGATACATGTGCACAGCACACATTTAGCCAGAGAACAATTTATGAAGGTCTGTTCTCTCCACCCACAATGTGTTCTAACAATTGAAATCAGGTCACTATGGTTGAGAAGATCCGCCTTACTGGCTCCAGACCTCTTGTTTCTCTTTTCTTTTCTTTTTTCTTTTTCTTTTTCTTTTTTGGTTTTTCGAGACAGGGTTTCTCTGTGGCTTTGGAGCCTGTCCTGCAACTAGCTCTGTAGACCAGGCTGGTCTCGAACTCACAGAGATCCGCCTGCCTCTGCCCCCGAGTGCTGGGATTAAAGGGGTGGTGGCACACGCCTTTCTCTGTGTAGCCCTGGCTGTCCTGAAACTCGACCAGGCTGGCTTTGAACTCACAGAGATTCACCTGCCTCTGCCACTGGAGTGCTGGGATTAAATGCTTGTGCCACTACAGCCCAGCTTCCACCCCTCTTTAGAGGGAGAATCTCACCTTGAGGCCCAGACCGACCTTGAATTTACTTTCCAAACCCCTAAGGAAGAGGTCAGGACTAGCCGGCACCAGGCCTGGTTTTGAGACACCATTCATCCTGTGCTGTGTACACACAGAAAGATTCCCAGGACAAACAGACTCTAAAAGTGTATCTGGGGCCGGGGATGCGGCTCACAGGGTAAGAGTACTTCCTGTGCAACCTTGAGGACTTCCGTTGGAATTCCAGTGCCAGTGCCAAAAGCTTGAAGTGGCATCGAGCAAGCATTTATCCTCACTGCTGTGGGGGAGGAACCAGGAGTGGGGGTGGGACTGGCAGGCCTTGAGTCGAACTCCAGGTTCGGAGAAAGACCCTGTCTCAAGGAAATAAGGTCTCAAGAGTGTAAGCGAGCAGAACACCTGGCATATTCCTCGTGTACGCATGCATGTGTACATGTGCGTGTACCAGTATAGACATCACACACACACACACACACACACCCTAAAGCCTGTCTTCCACCTGCTTCATTCTCTACACAGGATCCTGGGCTGTGTTAGACACACCTCAATTTCTGGAGAAATAACTTCAGCTGTATAGAATTCCTCCTACTTCACAATTACCTGAAATTTCTCTTATGTCTCATAAGCTGCTCAACCTAACTGAACTCTGCCTTGTAAAATTGCCCCAGGTTCTCACGTCCCCGGTCTTCTGATCCTACAGCTTAGTACGTGCTCTTCCTGGGTCTGTTGCTAGTGTGAGAATAAGGAGAAATGATCTGTTTGAATATGTAAACTAGTAACGGTAGCTGGCCACGGTGGCCCTCACCTGTAATCCCAAATCCCAAACATCTGTTCCCGGAAACTCAAACTAACAGGCAGGTATGTTGCCTGCTTATCAACCCAGCACGACCCGGGTCCAGGGAGGACAGAGTTGGTTATATACTGAGTTGGAGGCTAGCCTGGTTTAGGTGAAGCCCCACTTCAAAAAAACAAAAACAAACACAAAACCAACCACCACCAGAAGCTCTGATAACAGTGTTTCCTCGTAAAGCCCTTGAGACTTGGCCTGGCTCTGTCGTAGGTCTCGCCCTGTGACAAACCAACATCTCCTTATTTTGGCAGCATTTTCTTTTCCTTCTGCAGTCCCTTAGGTCAGTCACCCC